TTTTAATACATAAGGAATTATAATATCTAAGAATTTCATATAGAAAGAATTCTAATATTTAACAATATTCATATACAAAGAATTATATATCTCAACACAACTCGTTCAAAGATCTGTTAACAACGGCCGAAACGATACCAAATAGAACAATTATTAAACCTCTCTCAACGTTATCACACTGTAACAAATATACTTTTGACCTTTTTTCCTAAGAGCTACTCGTTATAAACAAATACAAACCTCTTTCACGGTACCGAAACTTCATCGCGACTGATAATAAATCTTTGAGAAGCTTTTCACCGAAATCCGTGTGTAAAGGTTAACTGTGAAAAAGCTCGGATGTACCTTACACCACGTAGAGAGGGTAGAAAGAACCTGAGCCTCAGATACAGCATAAAACTAGTGGGAAGACCCAGGAGACCTTTGCTCTTGCCACTGCTTAACCATCCCGGTGGCGCGACTTTATTCAATTTAGTGTCAGGGGGTAAAATCGCGAAATCACCCGCCAACAGCACAGCCAGGCCAAGAGTGAAGTTTTCGTCGAGGCTTTCAGCTTGCACGATGGCCTAAAATCATGCACAACCGATGTATTAACCGCGCGACATAATTAAACCAGATCAAAGATAGAGTTTGAAACCAGATACGCTTAGCATTTATAATATGATAATAGGGAGCATTAGCATTTGTTTGAGTTCGAAGTTTCATAAATATATATTACAGAGGATTATTCTTATTTATTGCATTATATCTACGTTTAATAAAATAATAATTCAATTAAAAAAAGTATTTTTACAGTAAAAAATTATCATTCTCTACAAAGAATCTTTAAAACGTTTAACAAACAATTAGAAACGAAATTCCAGAAATAATTCATTTTCGAAAATCTATATGTTTCTGTAAATGATATTACAGGTATCATTCAAACATAATTGCCTAGCAAATTGAATCCGTTATCATCGAGGGACACTCTCCATGGAAAACACTCGCCAGCTCGCACTTTGATTGAACTTTTCATCGATTTTCATCATCGAAAAAACAATTTGTGTACCGCTTCACAATTTACAGATTTCATTCGATTTTCAAACAGTTATCTCCATGAAAAAATCAATTACGAGCATTGCAGACTGATATCTAGTAGTTAAATATATTAAAAAATTATGTACGTAGAAATACCTGAAACAAATCTCCAGCCGTGACTTTATGAGGATCACAAGTAACTTCTACTCGTTGACCAGTCAGCATTATAACAACTATTCGTCCAGAATTAGCAGCCTGTAAATGAAAAATATGTCGAATTTTGTACAAAATGTCTTTTTCAATTGGATACAGTGGAATAGCTCAGAAGGATCTGAAACTATAAAAAAAAAATATTCTTACAAAAGTAGGACAAAATTCTTTTCGTTGGTGAAGTAGTGGGGGAAGATTTTCAGATCAAATTTATTTTTTTAAATGGAACGTTAGTTTTACTACGTTCGAAAACTGTGTGACAAAATTTGAAGACGTTAGTTCTCAATATCTGGTATAGTCTAGAGGCTATGATGTCTGGTTTTCATCCAAGAGGCCTCGGGTTCCACTCCGGATACGGGACAATTTTTTTTTATTCTTTTTTTTTAGCACAACTTTGTATTATAATAATACAGCTACATATGTATCCTTTAATTTATTTATTTTAAGTCGCATCAACCACTAAAGTTAGGTTATCAACGATTTAGATTATGGACCAGAATTTATAATTTTTGGAGATTTGTATTTTTTAGAAATGTTAGTAGCTAATGAGTTTTCTTCTTGTCATTTAGGTTCTTCCAGATAGATGCGTCGATGTCGTAATTTTTTCTTTCAGCAGAAAATTTGGCACTGTGTATGTGTCTGTGTGCGTGTGCCTGTCGAGCTGCGAAACAGAAGAACAGCGTTGTTTGTGGTTGCTAAGGACGG